CCCCGGCCCCACCAACTTACCCTTCACCTGGGTGACCAACCCGAAGTTGGCCATCTCCAGTCGCGGGTGATTAAAATCACCCATCACGACCCAAACTCCTTGGAGCTGGGACAGGGTGCTAGCGAGACTCGCAAGAACCTCTGGACTGCAGCCTCCTGTCGGCCCCACTCCTGATTGCAGATACAAGGAGAAAAGGATGAGGTCCCGACCATGAACTCTCAAAGCCACCGCGATCCAGCCACAGCCTTCCTTGGTGACAAAAGAGTCAACCAACCTCGCACCTAGGTGGTTTTTGGTCAGGATTGCAACCCCTCCCAGGGTGCCGACTCCTTTCCCTTGCCCTGCAGGCAGGGCCTGAAACTGGTAGCCAGCTTTACCAGCCTCAATCTGCACCTGACGAATCTCAGTTTGGTCCAGATGTGTTTCCTGCACAGCGGCCACATCAGGCCCCAATTCGAACAGCCAGGTGGCCACCTCCTTTCGCCACTGTGTGACATTGGCAGTGATGCAGGTAAGTTTGCGACTAACACCCGGGTCACTGGTATTCAGCACTTCCTGCACAGCCTGCACTGCCACATACCACATTTCACGGGAAAAAAGGCTGGACGATAAGGCATCCAAGATGTGATGACACACCCAATGTTCCAAGCTGCCATCATCCAAGGTGTTCTCCAACTTTTCCACCAAACTTAAAATATCCGGTTCACTGGGCTTACCAGACATCAGAGCAGCCTGGGTAAGGCTCAAGAGAGCCTGCCAGGTTGCCTTCAGCCCATCTACTCGGTGTTGTGCTCCGGGCGACCTGGGTTTGGGTCGCCTGCGTCTGCCAGGCCACGACCTGGCACTCCAGACCCCCGAAGTTGAACCACTGTCCGGGACATCCCTCAAGGCGCCTGGAGATGCTGTGTCTGCCTGTGACCAAGTGGCACAAGACTGCTCAGCATGAGATGAGACCCTAGCCCAACTGGCTGGGACCCTGAGCCTCGACTTGAGGCTTTCTGGCAAAACTGTAGCTATGGAGCTCAACTCCTCAACTGGCGGGAGAGACACAGCGGAGACAGCACCTCGACTCTTATGGCCAGTGGGTCTCCTTAAACCTCCATCTCCTGTACGAGAACGAACACAGACAGCATATGGCGTTTTAAAACTTTTGGCCTTCTGCGCCGTACCCGGCATCAAAACCGGAGATGTCTTTTCCTTAGGCACATAGAGGTCCTCAGTGACTTCAGAAGAGGAAGGCTCAGATTCCACGTCCTCATCCCCATCCCCTAGGGCTGGGAAAAATTTGGGCCCTGTGAGGATCGGGGACAAGTGCTCAGACAGCCTCAGAACAAAAACCCCTTCAGCTCTCACCTGATCTTCGAAATGCCAGGTGAAGAACTCAGGGTTGGCAAAATTGTGAGAGCATAGCTCCGACACATGGTGAACAGGCAAAGGAGACGATGTCCAGCACTGCCCTGTTGGGCCACGGTTTCTGCCTGCCCTACCTACAGTGCGCCAACCATCGTCTCCAAGCCTTGAGGCTGGGGTATCGGCTCCCGGGGCAAGGCGCCTCCGACCTTGCCCTTTGTGCCTCCCAACCTACTCTGGCGGGGCATCACCCGTCTCATCCTTTCGGGAGGGCGGGTTCAGTGGGGTCGCTCTTGCTATGGCCGGGGTTCCCCGCGCTGGGCCATATGAGGCCGGCCAGACAGTGGGCCCTTGATTAATCCCTGCCAGCTCCTGTGGAAATGGTTCTCTGCTTTCGAATCGGCTCAAAAAGGGATCTGGGCCAATCTCATCTTCAGCCGTCGTGGTCAAGAGAGCTGCTTTCAATTTGGCCTTCGTTCCCTCGGCGAGTTCATGGCCCGCTTCGGCTAGAACCTGTTCCATCTGGCCAAAGAAAGTTGTTGCCTTGTCCTCAGTCAGTTCTTTGAACTCGCGCGCTGTATCCTTCATTTCCGCATCTTTGTTCTCAATCTCGCGCCCGACCTGTGCAACATCCAGCATCAGGGCCTCAAGTTCCTCCTTGAGACTGTCTGCCTTCGCCTGCAACATTGCCCGCTTCTTTACCAACTTCTGCATTTGGTTAGTGGACTTGCGGAACTCTGTCACTACTCGGGTCAGACGCTGTCCTGGGGTGATCTCTGGCGCATCTAGATTGGCATCCTCAGGCGGCGGAATACCTGCTGCTGCCAGGAGCTTTTGCACATGGTCTCCTGCTCCACTGTACACCACCGTGCGCGCCGCCTGGTACTCCTGTTGAGTCATGGAGCCTTGCAGGGAGGACGGCACCCTCAGCCCTGGCGGCGGGGATGGCAGCCGTGTCGCCTTGCATCCCACCTTTGTCAAGGCCTTCTGGGTGGCCTCTGGCAAGTCCTGCCAGACCTCTGCCAGGGCCGAGCTGACCTTCCCAAGCTCAGCCTTCGGGCCTTGGTTGCCTCCCCCAGTGGACGCTGGCCACATGGGCCAGCCTGGCACTTTCCAGGAGGCCTGCTCGGCTTTGGCCTCCTTCTCCTTCTTCTTCTTGGCTATTTGCTTAGCCCAACTCCTTCCGCAAATGGCACAACGCGTATCCTCTCCATTGGCTACCTGCTGGTGCCACGCCCAGCCATAGCCACAAGCACACGCACACCACTGCTTGGAGCGTCCCATGATGCTTTCTGCTTAGCAGGAGACACCACTAAGTGGGAGCACAGGCAGGCAAACCTCTGCCAAGAGGCAAGGGAGCACGCAACCCCTGCCAGAGGGCAGGGAAGCACGCAACCTCTGCCAGAAGGCAAGGAAGGCTCACTCCGTGGCGGCAGTGAGTACTAAAGCTGGGATTTCTCTGTTCAAGCCTTGTTGAGACAAGTTAGGTCCTCGAGCCCGTTCTACACAAGCACTCCTACACGCTCACAGGGAGCTTGAGCCGAGACTTGAGCCGGTTAGGATTTTTCGCTCTTTCGCGCCAGGCGCGGCCCGTAGGCCAGTGAATCGTGCACCGAATCGGCCAAGCATTTGCATGGCCCTTCCGCATTCGCGGGCAACGCCAAAAGGCGGAAGGTGTGAGAGTACCCTGCTACCGGCCCTACCTGCCTAGGGACGGGAGTGGTAGTCCACGTCCTGCTGGGTGGTGGAGTCCACAGCCCGGTGAGACCAGGGAGGAAGCCTGCCTACCCTGGGTGTGGAGGCCACCACCCGCCAGTAAGGGAACTGGCTTGCAGGACTCTTCGCTTTACAGTGAGCAAGCCAAAAACACACTTAAGCCTCAGGGAAAGGTGGGTCACACAGCCTTTATGGGACAACCAACACCGGGAGAGGCAACCTACTCCCTGAGCAAAGTGGCGTGCTGCTCACCTCCCTTCAAGGGACAGGGGAAGGGGAGACCCTGCATCTCCGCCTGACCCGCAGTGGCAGTACAATGCGGGTCCTACACACGACAGAGATGGGAACAACCAAACTACCACAGCTCTTTCACACCGGCACAACCAAGCGCCAGTAGAAACGAAGGGACGGGACCGCATCCTAGCAGGAGGGGGGGCCCCATACCTGAGAGAAAGAGCAAACCACAGTCACCAGGCAGCGAGCAGTCACTACCCCTTGAAACAACCCTTAAACCGCCTACGCCCTTCGACAAGTGCAGGGCCAACGCTTCCCCTCAACAAGGCGCAGGGACTACGCCGCCCCTCCTCTTCCTAACAGGTGGCGCGGGGCCCACGTGCCTGCAGACGGAGTAAG